CCGGGGAACATTCTTCTGAAGCAGACGGTTGGGCGGGGCTCGTTAGTCATGCAGCGACGGTAGGAAGACGCTATAGTAGTTGATCAGGCCAAGAAACGCTCGAAGTTGTGATAAATCCTTAGGTGCAGGCATCCGTTGGATGTCACGAATATTTTCGGGATCTGGATGGCAACCAGTGACATCAAAAATGAATCAGAGGTACTTGATTGACTCGAGGAAACATTGACGCTTGTTGGCCCGCAGCCGGAAGCCATATTCCTTCACGCGCTCGGTCTTGGAGCTCAGCCCGTGAGCGAACCATAATGTTGATGTCGTTCAGGTACCCAGCCGTACCAGGAGTGCGGGAGCACATTGCGTCCATTGTCACCATTGTCGCCAACGGCTTTCTGTGCTGTGACTCATCGTGGGAATGGACACATTCCCAATAAGTACGCTGTCGAAAACAGACGTTTATAACATGGGAGAAACCCAATGCAGTGGAATTATGAAGTCTTCCATCATTGATCCAACTGCTTCGAACTGCGTGGCACCCAAACACTCTTGATGAACGCAGAAGACTTCTCCCTCCTGGTATTCAGATGCCCTACAGCAACTATAAAACACGCCCGAAAAAATAAAAGACATCCTTCGCCATGCCATCTCCACCTAATACAAGGAGGTAGTCCACAACTGCTTGGACTTTGACATAATCTTCAAAAAGACATAAAATGGTGCCTTATCCCAGTGCATACGTGAAGCTTTGACCTGATCCTTCACAGCCACTACCACAACTCGACTTGAATTTGTAGTGACACCACTGAAGCTAGCCCTCCTCTATCGTAGTACATCGAGTTCCTCTGGGTAGGCTCTGCGTTGCTTATGCAAAAGGAATTCTCGCCGTCTAGCATCGGGTATCCAGCTCTTCTTCCTTTCCTTCTTATAAGGTCATCTGGCATATTTACAGTCGATGTGTTTTCTCATTTAAAAAATGTAAATTAGCATTTTTCAAACATGCTTTCGTTTTTAGAAGATTATTTAAGTAGGATTGTTATAATAACTTTCGTGCAGCGTAACCTCAAATTATTTCAGTTACCTTGGGATGCAGAGTTTTGAACGAGCTTCTCTGTGAACGCCTGGATTAACTGCACTCTGTGAAAGTGGCTACTTAAGTATTACGCATTTCCTCATTGATTTTCGATGCCTGTATGCATTCAACTAAAATTTACAGCAAGGATTGTTTGCTTTCTTACGTTCATTTGGTAGCAAATGACATCTTCTTTAAAGTGCGCACTTGAATAAGGGACATCTTTTGACTTGAAATATTTTAAGACCCTAAAATTCCCATTTACAAAGCATCACATCTTTCTATTTATTACGGTTGCTTATAAAGTTAACTGCATCTTCTACATTCATCGTAAATGTTTATGCGCACTATAAGACCTCTTCATTATAGCGTAAAGAAGCGCATGCTTTTCCCTAGATGGAATATATACAACATGTGGGTTGGAAACCATGAATGCGAATGTAACGACAGGTTGGTGTTAAAATTATTCGGCAATTGAAAAGCCTTTTTTGTAAACCGCAAGATATCCTATGTGTTAATATACATTTTGAAGAAGACGTTGCTTGCTTCTAAATGAACCTTGAGAGGACGTTTTTATCCCTGCTTTCTATAAAATATATTTGAATGTGCAAGGACATCGAAAATTAATAAGATTGATTCATACTACGCAGGTGTAATCTTTGCAGGCAATTGGAAGGAAGGTCGTTGAAAAGCCGGCATCCTGTCTTGACTGGTATCCTGGGATTGCGCCCCTAGATATGTTTAATCGAAAACACATTTGCGAATTTCGTTTAAAATTTCAGGCGATAACACATGTGCCGTACTATCCAGGTGACTGTTCGGGTTTCGGAGGCGGTGTTTGCCGGCAACGACGTATCGTGAGTCACGATTCAAGACCAGCAAATTTGCATAATGTAGAAGTTCAGGGGCATTGTGTGGATTGGTCTGCTAGTCTTTAAGTGTGCCTTTGGATAGATTTCCGGTCGCTCGTGCTTACTATGGTTCAGTTTACTCATTTTGCTCTGAAGCATTTTATAGCACCGTCAGTTGCCAGACCCTAACCCTCCAAGCCCCACTAACCTCGTTATTCGAGTTCAAGCTTCTACTGATGGCCACAAAAACCCGTTCGCCACCGTGGTAACCAGGCAGAATGATAGAGCATAAAATAACGGGCAGGCTTTTGAAATTGAACCGCCATTTGTTTCTGATTTCTACTTCCATAGGAAGTTTCTTATATGTGCATCAGTTGACCTATTTTGCTCATTATATACTCCTTTTATCCTTCTTTGTTTATTTGAACTACAAAACTGGGGTCGTCTGCAAACGACGCTAGCATTGTTTTGAAGGATGTAAAATTTCGCATACATTTTTCCACCTACTCGCCGATGTCGACATTTGCCGTTTTCAGTCATTATGCATCGTTTGTGATCTTCCGGTGTTGCCTGTTTTGCCTGCCCATTTTTATCCTCGGTGAATGTCGGATTTTATGCTGAAAGTTTTGAACTTATGTTTTTAAAATAGCAGACGGTTAAGCGTTCTCTGGGACCAGGGGTTTATTTGTCCGACGTTTCAAAATTTCACGCGAGCTCATTGTCAAGGAATGAAACATTGTACAGTTCACTGCATATTTAACCCAGATCTGCCGGGAGTGACCTTGCCCTTGACCTCTGCCCTCGATTTGTTCGCGTAACGCGAGGTAGACATCAAGAAGATCGATATGTCCATTAATTGAATCCGCACGTGAATGCCATGCTTCCTGCAGCAGGCGTGAAGTTCGGTCGTCCAACCGACCCAGTATTCGCACACGTTCGAAGCCGTGCCCTGGCGTGGATGCGTGAGTGGCTACTAAGGAAAGCCTGTCCTTCCGTCGCACGGCGAGTTCATGCGGCTGTATCCTTGTCAGAACCCGTTCGCCGGTTTCACCAACATAATTAACTTGAACACAAAGACAGTTGATGCGGTAAATGACACCGGATTTATAGTTAACAGTTAATGAGTCTTTAGGTTGCATAAGTTGCCTGCGGATTGTCGCTTTCGGTCTGTGAGT